CCTTCCCCGCGCGTCATCGGGCGCGTGCCGGCCGGATGAGTCCACCGGACCCGAAGCGGAGGGGGGCCGGGCGGGCTGCGGCCTGCTCCCGGCTGTTTGCTGCGGCCCTTCCGGGAAAGAGCGAGCCCCGCGGGGTCTCCTGCCGGCTTCTGTCCTCGCTGCCGCGGGGAGCTCGCGCGGGGGCTCTGGCGGCGAGGCGGGCGTGCACGCGGGCTTCCCCCGCGTCCCCGGCCCGCGCGTGTGGTCGGGCCTGGGCTTCACTTCCCGTGCGCGGCGGACAGCCCTCTCTTTCCTTGGACTCCCGCGCCGCCGGCTCTGGTCTTTGGTTGCCCCGTCCTCGGCTGGCGTGTGAGTACCGCGGCCCGCGTCAGAAGGGGCCGCCCGCGCTGCCGAGGCCCCAGGATCGGGGCGGGCGGCCGGGGCTGCGCCAGGGACTCTGCGCCGTGGGGGACCGGGGCTCCAGTGCGGCGGGCCCGGGGGGAGTGCAGAGGGTGGGCCCGCGGGCCACGTGGCCGGACTTCTGCGGCGGTCCCGGCGGGAGGGCGGCCGCCGGGTGCCCGGCCGCTTGGGCTCGTCTGTCTCGGTGGGTGGCAGGAATATCTGCCCAGCTGTGGCCCGTCCTTTGTCCAGCACGCGTTTATTAAGCACCTACTGCACTTCGGCTCGGGGCCCCGGGGGACAGGCGCGGGGCCCATCCTTGTGGACCCTCGACGGCTCACGAACGCGGGAAGGAATAAGGACGTGATTGCTGAGTGGCTCAGAAAAAACACAAAGGGTCGTCTGAGAGTGACTCGGGGTCTTGACTTGGATAAGGTGGTCCAGGCAGGAGGCGACGTTGAAGCTAGTCTTTGAAGGGGGGGGTGATGCCTTCCTGAGAAATGTGCACTTTAAGTGGATAGAGGAAGAGAAAGGCTCACGCTGGAGCCAAGGGGGTGCAGTGGGGTAGGGGCTCACTGGAGGCTGCACATCAGGGTTTCCAGAATGAAGGGCTCCCCAGCTCAAGAAAACTGTTAGTGTAGCTGAAGTTTGGGGTGGTTCCTGCTTGAAGGAGGAGGGCCTCTTAAGTTGACCCTGGCATGTAACTCTTCTGGGAGAGTGGGCCTGGCCTGGGGTGGGGAAGGACGCCTTGTCTTGCATCTTACATTGCGGGGCTTCTGCAAGAGCAGCTCTGACTCCCCAGTCATCTCTGGGTACCCTGAGCCACTGCCAAGTGGGCTGGTTCGAATGCGATGTGGTCTGGTCCTTCCTGAGCCCTCCAGTGCCCAGCCCTGTGGACAGGGTGTCTTCTGAAAGCGCCTTCTCCCGGAGCACTGGGCACACACACTCTTAAGGAATAGGTTCCCTGGGTCCCCTCTGCAGGGCGGTTAGTCTGGACTCGTGCCAGTCCTGGGGGATGCTCTTCAGGCTGGGCCTCCATCTCCTCACTGCAGCATGAGTCTGCAGTGGGGTCACAGGAGCCCAGGGCAGAGTGAACACTCGGCCACTGGTGCCTTCTCTCCACAGTGGGCCTGGGATGACTGCCATCTGGAGAAGCCTGGCGTGGGGCTGTCCCCCTTGGCTTTGCTCCTGGGTAGCGCGATGAGGCCCCAGGGTTCAGCACAGGTGGGCAGATGTGCTCAGCTAGTATTTTTGTGAATGAAGGTTTCTTGAAGGTGATGATTTATCAAAGATCAAAAAAAAGAATACCTTTAGCATGTTGTACACTGGTGTCAGCTTTTCAGGGACCACAGGCGGGAAATGCTGGGGTGGGCATTTGTTGAGCCCTGGCCCTACACCGATACTTTAAGATGATGTGTGTGTTCAGAGCGGGCAGTGAGACACTTTTACAAAGTACTGGCACTGCAGGGGGACTCAGAGCCCTAGTTCCTCCAGTCCTGTCTCCCAGCTGTGTATGGAGCTTGGAGACGCACACGTGAGGTGTTGGGTATATGCAGAAGGTTGAAGAAGCATGTCCAGGACTGGAGTCGCCCCCAGGGAAGGGGGCGCAGGGGCCAGGCTGGTTAGGTTAGGCCAGGGCACCACAGGCTAGGACAGAAATAGAACTGGCAGGCCATGGCATTTGAGGGAGAACATTGTTGCCTGCTGGGCCTGCGGTGGGGTGACATGGGCAGCCACAGTGTGAGCCCAGAGTCTCAGGGTGCAGGGGCCCCCTTCCTGCCAGGAGGGCAGGTGGTGTTTCTGAGTGGGGCTGAGATATCCAGGAGTTGGAGGTAGGAAAGCATCTGAGTAGGAATTTTGGGCTGTGGAGTTCCTCCCTAAAAAAAGGCAAAGGGTACCACTCGGTACATGGCTCCCCTGTGGCTGGAGCTGTGCTGTCCTGTGTCACTACCCTGTGTGGCTCTTCTCATTGACTAAAACGTTTCAAGTGCTTGTGGCTGCCCTCAGACATTGCAGATACAGGAAGCTCCATTATGCAGCACTGGTCCAAGCCATGGCAGCTGGGGGATCCAGAGAAAGCTGAGCTGGCCAGCCGACCCCATTCCCCCCCGAACACCTCATGCCTGCTTCTGCCGATTCCCACTTCCTGTGGAAGGTGGGCGGAGATCTTTGACCCCGGGGTGGACAATCTGGGAGCTCCTTCATGTGTGTGACTCCGATGAGGTAACAGGCACAGGGCTATCTGAGGCGGTGTCCAGAGGATGGGAAGGTGGTGTGGAGGGCAGAGCCAGGGGAGGGGCCAACCCTCCCAGAAACCTTCCCTGTTCATCGCCCCAGCTCACGGAGCCCTCTGGGCCCTGGCACTGCGGTGGGCACAGCACTCCCAGGCCACGCCATCGCCTTCCTTCAGGGCCCTCCAGCCAGGAGTGTCCTGGGCAGGGGCTGCTGCCAGGTTCCCTATGTTGGCACCACAAGAACTGCCCTCCCAGCTTGGCAGAGGCTGGGCCCACGAAGGCCCTGCACACACTTGGAGCATGTGTCCACCTCAGTGCAGGCATGAGAGCGACTGCGATGGGGACTGGGCTAGGAGAGTCACGGAGGAGGGGCTGTCTCTGACCAGGACCACCTCTGCTGCATCGGCTGCTTTCTCCACGGGTCCCGGTGGCCAGGCAGGGCGTGATCCCTCTGGGGCCTCCCAAATCTCAGGCCCCCACAAACCTTGGGCAGCGCCCCCTCTTATGGGAGAGGTCTCGACGTGCCTGATGGATGGACCAGGGTTGGGCCTTGGTGGGGGGCAGCGCAGCTCTTCACCCTGCAGGTGAGTGAGGGAGCAGGCGCCAGCAGACTGCAGTCCAGTCTGGGAGCAGAGAGCAGGGACCCCTGAAGCTACTCTCCTCTGGGTCCTTGCTCTAGTATTTTCGAGCTTTCTTCGCGTGCTCTGCTCTGTTACTGGCTAGCCTCTGCTGTTGTTGCCTGGAGAAACTGCAGGAGGGGAGGGTCCGAGTTCAGGGTCCTTACTGGAGACCTATAGGCTTGCATGTTTGTGTCCACAAAAAACTTGCTTTTCTACCAGAAGAGGTGGGCTTGCACCTCAGCAGGTCCTCATGGAACACGGGAGCACTCAGGGACGAGGGAAGTCAAGGAAATAGAGATGGCCCCTGGCATCTGAGACACTGGGGGGCTGTGCTGGCTGTCCTGGGAGACCCAGCGGCAGGGCAGGGGGCCAGGAGCACCCTGCTGCACCATCCTGCAGTGTCCCTGTGGGTGCTATTGGCCCCTGTCCTGCCTCTGGCTTCACGCCCGGAGGCGCTCCGCTGCGCTCAGCTGTCTGTGGCCAGCCTCCCCAGGTGACACTCTGCCAGCAGGAGTGGCTCACTGCACTGTCTGCAGAGAGCCCTCTTCCTGCCAGAGCCTGGCTGTCCCCTAAGAACCCCTAGGGGTGGGTGTGGTTCCTGCAGGGAGGCCTGCCCCGGGTCTCCTGGATCTCTGTGCACTCCCGTGGGGCAGCCACTTCCCCTTGGGACCATGTCCTCGTGTCTGCCCCGCCCCACAGGGCACCTTGTGTGTCCCATCAGTGACTTGATGCTGCCGCTGAGTGCCTGCAGTGTAGGGGGACAGGGGAGGGCAGGGGCCTGGGCGGCAGAGCTCCTGTGGGAGAAGGGAGATGGATCCCCAGGGCTCTGGTCCCTGAGCAGTGGGGAGGGCCTTGGGGCAGCACAGGGCACTGTGCCCAGCAGGCCTTCCCAGAGCTGGATCCGCCTGTGGCTTCCTCAGCTCCTAGGCTGCCCTCTTTTATGGGTTTGGGGCGGGGCACCTAGCATCTCCGGGCTGTTTCTGCATCTGTGAATGTGTTAATAGCTCTGTCCTTTTGTGCTCAGTGCAAGACTTTGTGTCCCTGAGACCCTTCTGTATGAACCTGTGGGGATGGTGGCACTCTGCCCCAGTAGTCGTCCTGCTGAGGAGAGGCCCTGTCCCAGCGTGGGCACTGGGGCTCGGTGGCTGCTGAGATCCCTGGAGTGGTCCTTGTCGTCTTCACCTTGTCTAACAGCCTGGACCCAGTGGTAGCTCGGGGGCTTGGCTGAGTGGGGATCCACTTTGCAGCTCCAGGTGGACGGTGGGGGCGCTCGGGGTGCTGGCTCACCGCTCCTCAGGTGGCCTCAGCTCAAGTGAGGAGCAGGGGGAGGGTTGCTCAGCTGGTGCTCCCGGGGCTGCCTGGGCTCCAGCTAACAGGAACCCCAGGAACTGCCCATTTCAAGTGATGGTGGAGCGGCGCTGTCCTGAGTGGGTGGACTCGGCCACCTCTGGGATGTGGTGCTGGGTCTCTCTGGTGCTCCCCTTCTGCCCCCTGCACCAAACGCGCCTCCATGCCGCCTCACCATGCAGCTTCTGAAGAGGCCCTAGAGCCTGCTTGGGCCCCCCTTTCTGACCGCCTGTAACCTTGCTGCTTTCTCTTCATGCTGCCCTAGGAGATCAAAGTGAAAGTAAGTACCCACCTGTCTCATGCCCCTGTGTCCCCTTCACCTGAGCCAGGGAACCCTGACCCGGCTGTCGCTGCACCCAGGGAGTCCCAACACCTGTGTCTCCTGAGAAGCGGTCTCCCCTCCTGAGCAGAGCCTGGTCTGATGTCAGGAGCCAAGGACAGCGTTTAGGCCAATAGGGTCTGGCAGGGCTCCGGCAGTGGGGGGCTCAGCCTAGAGAGCAGGGCTGAAGGGGCTGCCCTGCACCTGCACTGCTCTGTGAGGGTCCACTGGGGGCTTGGCGCCAGACAGGTCGGGGGCAGACAAGCCCTGCCCAGTAGGCCAGCAGCCCGTCAGGGACAGTGGGTGATGTCACAATGCCCTGCCTCCTGGGCACACGCTCCTGCCTCCCACCACTGTCTCTGCCGTCAGCCTGGCCTTGGTAAGTGCTGCCGCCAGCCTGGGGAGGAACGTGCGAGGGGGCGGCCCAGGGACCTTTCCAAGCCTGGGGCCTCTGTCCGTGGCCTGGCTCCTTGCCAGGATGGCGTCAGAGGCCTGTGGCATGTGCCATTAGAGGCTCCTGATGCACCCCTTCAGAGTACAAGGGGACTCGCCTCGAAGTCCTAGGCGGGCATGGGACTTAGACAGCAACACGGCCCTCGGGGTAATTGGAACCAGGTTTTGGTTTTGTTTGGAGGTGTTGGGAAAGGGACATAGACCCTGCAGCAAGTAGGGAGCAGGGTTTACCATCCAGGCTGAGAGGTTGCCCCCTACCCCGAGACTTTGTCTCCTGGGGGTGAGGGCCCAGCAGGGGGATGCCCCATGGGCCAGCGGATCTGCCCTCACGTAGGCTCCACCAAATGGCCCTACCGAAGCAGGGGACAGTGCGGGTATCCTGAGGGAAAGCTGCTCAGCCCCTGGCAAGTCAGCTCCTGGGTGGTAGTCAGTTGGCCTGGAGGCTTCTGCTTTGGGGAGCAGTGCAGATCTGTGGCTGGGAAGGAATCCTGTGCTGGTCACAGCCACCCCTATAGAACAGGCCAGCCAAGTGTGAGCTTGGGGACCCTAGGTATGTCCTAAGAGCACAGTGGCCTCCGGGGCTTTCTGGGCCTGAGCTGCTCCTGGCCAGAGGCTGCAGTGGCCCAGATCCCTTGGTTCTTGCTGAGTAGGGTGGTCGGCAGAGCAGGGGCCAGCGTTTCCACAGCACCATGCCTGGGAGTGGCGGGGCCCTGTGGCGGCAGTAGGATTGGCGTACGGCAGGGGACAAGGCCATTGCCTCGTGTGGCTGATGGTGCATGCTGTCTTGCGTGGGGACAGCAGACAACTAAGGCCACTCTAAGCTGGAGGGGTCACCACCTCCAGCGAGGAAGCTGAGGGTCCTGGGGCAGAGGCTTGTGCACTGGCCACAGCGGCAGGTGAGGTGCAGCGTCCCCTCACCTGCCTTTCAAACCATCCAGTGCTGAAACAAGGGGCGGGGTCCCCCCATCCTCGGTCTTGGAGATTCCCACGTGGCCCCTCTGGTTCGGGTGCCGCCAGAGGTGTGAGCTCATGGCCTCCTGCTGGGAGGAGCTGCAGCTGACCAAGGAGCCTGGCTCTTACTCGCTGCCTGAGCCACTGGGCTCCTTCCCTTTTAGATGGTCACCAGCATCCTCCCTGGTGTCTCTGCTGATGTCGTCTTGAGGGAGTGGGCACTCTTCTGCTCTAGGCTGCCCACTGAGAGGCTGTCCTTTGTCCAAGACCCTTGGCAGCTCCCCTTGGAGCATGTGCTGCTCTGGGTGGTGGGGTGGCCGTGGCGGGTGTGGGTGACCCAGAGGCAGGGTGCACCCTCGGGGCCATCCTCAGAGACAGCCAAGTGCATTTCTGTAAGACAGAAGCACTAGCAAGGCCTCAGGGCAGGCAGCCAGACTTAGCAAAAACACGGAACATCCAGATAAAGTTTCAGATGAACAGTGACTAACTTTTCAGTACAGCTGTGTCTCAAATGTTTTGCAGGACTGACTTATTCTAAAAATTATTTGTTGTTTATGTGGAAGTCAAATTAGCTGAGTGTATCCTGTGTTTTGTCTGGCAACCCTCCTTGGAGATTCTATGAGAAAAGGTTTCTGTGGCTAAAGAGGTTTGGAAACAGTGTTCTCGAGACCCCTCTGGAGAGCCTGGGTGCATATTGGATTGGAGGAGACAAGTTGTGCAGTTCAAAGAATACATATATACACACGTGCATATATGTATGTGATGTGTCCCCTGCTTTGTTGAGTTCCCCGTGGGTTTGACTGTGGTCCTTGCATGTTAGCTCATGGCACCTGCACTGGGGAGTGTCCCCAGGCCCTGCCAGCCCCGCCAGTCAGGCTGAGGGGGTGCAGGGGCGCTGTCTGCGGGGCCTGCTGTGTTGCAACTGCCTTCTTGTGCTTGCCTTTTAACGCTGCACGGAAGATGAGGAGCGTGAAGACCTCCTGTGGCCTGGAGACCGTCTGGGAGGACAAGCAGAAGTATGGTGAAGCCGAGCGGCGCTTCTATGAGCACGAGGCCACCCGAGCCGCCGCCGCCGCTCAGGAGCTCATCGCCGAGGCGCCAGCCATGAACGGGCCCGGTCAGGAGGCCACCGAGGAGGCAGAGGAGGTAGAGGCCCCTGACAGCAGCAGCAGGGGTGACCCCGGGAACAAGCCCCTGCAGAAGAAGAGGAAGCGCTCCCCGAAGAGCTGGCTTGGCCATGTGGACCCCTCCCTCGTGGGCCTCTCGGCTGACCACGTCTGGCTGGACAAGCCACTTTTCGACCAGGCGGAGAGCTCCTACCGCCAGAGGCTGGCAGACGCGGCCGCCAAGGCCACCTGGCTGCCCGCCCTGGCCCCCCGGGGCCCCTGCACCCACGGAAGCCAGGTGGCCTGCCACCACGTGACCTGGGGCATCTGGATCAACAAGTCTTCCTTCGATCAGGCCGAGCGGGCATTCGTGGAGTGGTCTCAGGCCCTGCTACTGGCCACAGAGGGGAGCGGCAGGCAGGGGGCTCCCAACACAGGCCAGCGTGAGGCCACCCCTGACCTAGCCCTCGCCCACCGGCCCAGCCTACTGGGCAACGGCCAGCCTCCACTGGGAAGCTTGCAGGCGCTAGTGCGGGAGGTGTGGCTGGAGAAGCCCCGGTATGACGCGGCCGAGAGGTGCTTCTATGAGGCCCTGTTTGACGGCCACCCCCCTGGGAAGGTGCGCCTGCAGGAGCGAGCCAGCCAGGCCGACCATGCCAGGCGGGGCCGCAGAGACCGGCGGGGCCGCAACGCTGTGGGGAGCAAGCGGGCTGGGCCGCGGCGGGCCGACGGGGAGGCCCCTTCTGCCCTGCCTTACTGGTACTTCCTGCACAGGGACGCTGAGGCGCCCTGGCTCAGCAAGCCTGCCTACGACAGTGCGGAATGCCGCCACCATGCTGCCGAGGCCCTGCGCGTGGCCTGGCGCCTCGAGGCTGCGTCCCTGGCTCACCGACCTGGTGTCTGGTCTGGCCTGTCCATGTCCGGCCTGAGACCCAAGTAGGAGAAACGTGCTGGGCGGTGTCTGCAGACTGGGCCCCTAGTGCTCCCCTCCCGGCTGCGGCAGGGCTCTCCCTGAGGCTCCTAGACCCAGCTAAGCTGGGTGCAGGAGCAGGTTGGGCAGGGGTAGCTCTCTGTCCCTGGGGCTCTGTCACCTCTAGGGTCACCCCTTGAGGGTCACTAAGTTCTGGGCTGTTGGGGGAGGGAAGGGGTCAGCACAGGGCTGAATCTGCCCTGTCTAGGGTTCCCCTCTTGGCCAGGTCACTCCCAGAGTCCCCTTTGGCTGTCACAGTCAGGGTAGGGGGAGCATTGAGGGCTCTTGGCCCCTGAGCCCCACTGGGGCAAGGCGTGGGATCCGGGAGGCCCCCGCCTGCCCCTCCTGGCCCTCATCTCCTGCCTCCCTGGTCGTTCGTAACTCCCTCTCAGGTAAGGTGGGTGTCTCGGGTACACCAGCATGTGGCCAATGGAGCGGCCTGAGTGAAGGACAGCCACTGAGCGAGGCTGACTTGCCTTCAGCCTGGGGACCCAGGGGCCTTGCCCCAGGACGGTTTCATGCAGCATCGGCAGTGGTCTCTGGAGGCCAGGGGCCTGGAGAACTGCAGGGGTGTGGACAGGCGAGTGCCTGGCCACGGAAGAGGTCCCCCAGCGAGCTGGGCCCAGGCAGGTGGGCAGAGAGAGCTGGACTTGAGGGAAGACCGGAGGTGCAGCAGTGGGGAGAGGGCCTGGGTGCAGGCGGCCATGCAGCAGGCTGGCCAGCAAGACTTGGAGAGGCCTCCCTGGGCCCCAGTCTCCCGGCAGGAGCCCCTTGGCTCCTTGATGGGGTTGAATTTGCTGGTTTGACAGGATGCAGGGGCCTTGATGTGAGGCGCAGGGTATGGGACCTCATCATGGAGGAGTGTGGAGGGGGGAGTGTGAGGCTGGAACCCTGTTCACGGTGGCCTGGTTTCTACTCATGGCAGGGAGAGTGTGGGGTGGAGGAGAGTCTTGAGACCCAACCCCCCTCTCGTCACCGAGGGGACACTTGGCGAGGTCCAGTGATGACCTGGTGTCCTGGGCACAGAGGATTGGCAGGATTGAGTCTGTTTCTGTTGCATTCAGTGAGGAGCAGGAGGGGCTTCGGCTGTCCTGAGTCAGTGGACTTGTTCTCTGAAGGGCCAGGGAGCGGGGAGTGTGGGCTCTGTGGGCCCAGGGCTGTGGCAGCTCCTCCCCGAGCTGAGCGGTGGGAAAGCAGCAGGAGCAGGTGAGCGTGGCCGTGTGCTGGTGCTACCATCTGCAGAAACAGACAGTGGTTGGGTTTGGCTCCCAGGCTGTAGTTTGTCAGCCCCTGGTCTCTGGTCTCGAGACCCCAAAGAGCTTTTATTACATCTGTTGATTTTTACCTCATTAGCAGTTAATACAGAAATGCTAAAGTGCTTATTCATTGAAAAAAAATAAGAAGCTTGTGACATGTTAATAATGTGTTTTCATGAGAAATGGTTTTCTGTAACAGAAAAATTCAGTGAACAGAGTGGCCTTGTTTTACGTTTTTGGGAATCTCTTTAGTGTCTGACTTAATAGGAGGCAGCTGGGCTCCTGTCTCTGCATTCAGTCTGTTGGTGTGCATTGTCTGATGTGAATCCAGCCTCACATAGACAGAGGTGTGATTGGAGAAGGGAGGACCTTGGGGACCCCCAGAGGTTCCTGGCCACACTTTGAGATCCGCTGGTCTCAGGGACGGGCCTGGGGACCGCAGGCCTGAGCACTGAAGGAAGTCTGCTCGGGGTCGGGGGGCAGGGAGTGGTTGGCGGGGGCTTACAGGCTCAGTGCTGTCCACATTGAGAGCCACTTGTGCTCTGTCCTGGAACCTGGAGCCCTTATCACCCAGGGACTGGGACAGCCTACCCTGCACCCTTGGCGTCTGGCCTCTTGGAAGGCACACTCGTGCAGGCCAGGCCTGCGGCCTGTGGGGAGGTGCCCCCTCCTCCCGGCCAGGCTCTCTTAGTCTCTCCTCCCCCTCCCAGCAGGAAAATGGCCACAAACTTCCTAGTGCATGAGAAGATCTGGTTCGATAAGTTCAAATATGATGATGCAGAGAGGAAATTCTACGAGCAGATGAACGGGCCTGTGGCTGGCTCCTCACGCCAGGTAGGGACTGCGCTTGGGGCCGCCGGCTGGCTCTGCTCCCAGGTGCTGGGGGCAGGGTCTTTGGAGGGGTGGCCCTGCCTGGCTCCTGAGGTGCTGGATGGGCTCTGGTCCCAGCATGGAACAGGACACTCCCACTCTCTCCCAGGCTGCCGGGGCCGGTGGGCACCCAGGTGCCCATCAGGATGGCACAGGGCTCGGCTGGGCCTGCAGACTGGCTGCACCTCAGGCCCTGTTGTCACGGCCACAAGACTCCGGCCCCTTCTACTCCTCGCTGTCCTGCTGAGCTTTAATCTGCGCAGCACTTGCTTGCTCTCTTCACATGAGGGTCCTGTTTTTTTTGAAATCAAATTTTTTTAATGAAAGAAAAGACTCAGTTCTTTCTGCACTGTCTGCAGGAGAACGGCGCCAGCGTGATCCTCCGAGACATTGCGAGAGCCAGAGAAAACATCCAGAAATCCCTGGCCGGAGTGAGTACCCGCGGCCCGTGTACCCGCGGGCTCGCACTCAGCACTGCCGCCCTCATGCCAGGTTGTGGATCTGACATTTCCCCCGGTCCTGCTGATTGTTTTGGTTCTTTGGGGCAAAGTTAGGGTGGGGTGTGCAGTGCTGTGGCCTGCGGGGACGCAGACCTGACCCAGACCACCCCAGGAGACGTTCTTACTCCTGCCTCCTTGCCCTGCCTCTCTCACCTGCTTGCTGGCGGTCACCCGGGACGCCCTCCTGCCCTCGCCCTGGCCGCTCGGGTGGTGCCAGCCCTGGGCTGGCACTGTCCTCCTGCAGGGCACGTTCAGCAGGCACGCGCCTGGAGGCCTTTTCGTTCCTGCTTGCTCCCTGCACAGAAACAAATTCGGTGGGAGGCCAGGTCTACCACGCTTCCTCCCTTCCCCCTTAGGGCTTGCCCTCCCCAGAGAGATGCTTCGTGGGGTGTGTTGAGGTCACATAGACTCATAGAATTGGCACTATTGTGAATTTGAGGCCCAGAGAGGGGCCCTTGGCCCAGCTCGGCCTCCAGGCCCCAGTTGAGATCGGGAGAGGGCTCTGCCTGCGGCCTGGTGGGGGAGGTGGGCCCTAGCAGGTGGCAGACCTGTTGTTCCGCCTGCCTGGCCAGAGAGTCAGGACCTCCTCCTCCCTCTGGGACGCAGGGTGGTATCCCAGACTTGAGGGCCAGGTGTCAACAGAGCTGTGTTCCTTCTGGAGAGCCTAGAAGAGAATCCATTTCCTTGTCTTTTTTGACTTGGAGAAGCTGCCCACATTTTTTGGTCTGTGGCTTCTGGCCAGCAGTGTCCTGACCCTGAGGTTGGCTTTGGTCACCTTTCCTTCTCTGTCTCCTGCCTCTCTCTTACGTGGACCCACCTGGATAATGCAGGATAATCTCCCCATCTTCACATCCTCCACTTCCTCACACCTGCATAGTCCCTTTGACCATGTGAGGTCACTTCTCTACAGGCTTTGGGGATACGTGTGTGGACGTGTTTGGGAGCTTTCTGTTAGCCACAGCTGGTTCGGGCATACTGACCCCTGGGCCATAGGCTGGGCAGCCCTGGGCGGGTGACCCCAGGAGGTGGTACCACCAGTCTGCCCAGCAGGCCCTGCTTTGTGCTCAACCTCCACTTGCTCCTACTTTGCTTTCTGCCCACCAGCCCTACATCCCGCCTGCCACCCTCTGCTTGCCTGACCATGCTCAGGCCAGGCAGACATGAGAGCGAGGTGGCACAAGCTCTTTACACCCACGCCAGGCGTGTTGGGCTCCAGTGCTCAGAAGGCTGGAGCCAGAGGGCTTCTGGGGCTGCAGGAACTCTTCCTCCTCTGGCGCTCAGGGGGCCCTGGCTCTGTTGGGGTCCTCTGCTAGGTCTTGGTCTTTGGGGAAAGCGTGTGGGCATGCTGCTAGAGCTTGAGGACTCGTCTGCTCAGGCGGCCGTAATGTAGCACCACAAACCCTGTGGCTGAAACAACAGACATTTATCTCCTCAGTCTGAAGCTGGAAGTCCAAGATCAAGGTGGGGGCAGGATTGGTTCCTTCTGAGCCGCTCTCCCTGGTGTGCAGACAGCTGTCTTGCCGTGTCTTTACATCATCTTCCCTCTGTGCGTGTGTGTCCAGATTTCCTCTTACAAGGATACCAGACATTGGATTAGGAGCACTCTAATGACCTCATTGTAACTGGATTTCCACTGTGAAGACCCCTTCTCCAAATACGCTCCCCTTCTGATGCTGCTGGTTAGGGCTTCTGCGTGACCTTTAGAGGGGCATCGTGCAGCACAGACGGGCCCAGGAAGGACACTGCTGGCCCAGCCCCAGGCTTGGATTGGGTGGGGTGGAGCTCAGCGGACACTGGGACTTGAAAACCCGAAGGTTCCTGGACGTTGTGCATGGTGCCAGGTATGGGGTGGAGGTTCTGGATTCAAAACCTTGGTTTGTGGCACTGCCCCCTGAGGCTACAAGGTGGCCGCCTGTGACAACTGTCATGGGCTATGACTGGACTGGGTGGCCTGGGCCGGTCTCACTGAGGCTGGGGTCTGGGGCCCTGGCTTCCTCTTTCCCTGCCTGGGTCAGAGTCTGAGTGGCAGGTGCTAGGGCGTGGGTGGGGGCATAACTTCATGGAGAGGCCTGGTGGCATGTACAGTGGCATGTAGGGCCAGGTGGGTCCTTGCCCAGAGCCTGCACCCTTGGGATGCATCAGCAGGTGGTCCCCGCTCAGTGTTGTCACCAGGGCTGGGGCCAACACGTGGGGCAGCAGGCGTAGCAGGACAAAGGCTTGAGGCGCCAGCCTTCCCCCCTCCCACCTGCTGCCAGGACCTGGCTTGTTTGCCTGGCTGGCAGTGAGCCCCCGGGAGAGGGGGCTGTGGGGGGCCTGCTGAGACAGGAGCCGGGCCCTCGCGCACAGGCTGGCGCAGGGGTGGGAGGGTGGTTGGGGCTTTGTAGGGAATGGGAGGCTCTGAATTTCGTCCGTGTGTGATGGAAGCTGTTGGAAGATCTTGGTGGGAATGGCGTTGGGAGTTGAATGCGTGAGAAATGGGCTGGAGGGAAGGTCACCACATGCCCAGTGGTGGTGGTGGGCCATGACTTGGGTGAGGGCAGTCAGGTGGAGGACCCTCTGGAGAGGACGAGTCCAGCACAGCTTTCCAGTGTGAGCTGCCATTTACTGACCACAGGAGGAGGCTGGGGATGCCCGCCTCGGTTGAGCTGAAAGGAGAGGAGTGGCATGAGCAGAGCCCACCCCGGTATCACGGCGGCTGGTCAGTGACCCTTCCCCAGCCACGCTTCACCTGGCCACCCTTGGCTGGCTCTGCCTCAAACAAGGGAATGGGAGCTGGTGCGTCACGGGACAGCGTCGGCCTTACGTTGCCCATTGGTCCACGGGCAGGAAGCTGGGTGCCCATTGGGCTGTCCTCCCTGGGGACCTTTAGCTTCTCCGTGGGGTGTACAGAGCAGGGGAGGAGGCCACATGGGTTGCGGTGTGGCTGCTTGGCCAGCCCAAGGCTCAAGGTCATTATTGTGATTGGACACCAGAGGGCAGTAGCGGCTCTTGGGAAAGAGCCAGGTGGACCGTGTCCTCAGAGCTGTTCCACTGGGTTGCGGCTGTGCCGAATGATCCCCACGTGTGCATGCAGGTCCCTGGGTGTAATGGGCTGAGCTGTGGCCTCTGCGGGTGAGCTCGTTGGGCAGCACTGCTTGGGTCAGACGATAGGGGCTCCCAGTCAGAGAGGAGCCAGGGAGGCTGGCGGCCAGGTTTGGGGCCCCAGTCACCCAGTACCTTCAAGGGCAGGCTTGGTGAGGCAGACAGCCATTGCGTGGCCCGAAGGAGGCAAGGGGCTGTGCTGGCCACTGTAGGGTGGCTGCCCATCCACAGGTGTGCTCCTTCCTGCTGCCCTCACTGGCCACTCAGCCAGTCTCCCCTCCTGTTCCCAGTCCCACTAGGCCCCAGGCCAGGCTGCCCCTGGGCCTGTAAGTCCCCCACTTCTTCCCGCCCCGGGAAGCGGCAGCTGTGGCTCTCAGCTCTGCACTGTCTCCCTGTTGGGGCTGTCCTAGGCCTTCTGCCTTCTGTCCTGTGCTTCCTGCTTGACTGAGAATGTCACCATGTCTCCAGGGCTTCCTCCCCCTCGCCTGACCGGAGCACAGCAGTTGGACCCGGCTGGGCTCTGCTTCTGAGTGGCTGTGAGTCAGGGGGATCCTAGGAGCAGGCTGGGGCGCTGAGCCCTCCCTCCCTCTGCCTTACAGAGCTCAGGCCCTGGGGCCTCCAGCGGTCCTGGCGGAGACCACAGTGAGCTCGTCATCCGGATTGCCAACCTGGAAGTGGAGAACCAGAGCCTGCGAGGCGGTGAGGCCCTGGGCCTGATGGGTGGGGGGACCCCACCCCAGCCTCTGCCGTCTGACCAGCATTCCCTTTGTTCCTGCAGTGGTGCAGGATCTGCAGCAGGCCGTCTCCAGGCTGGAGGCCCGGCTGAGTGCGCTGGAGAAGAGCTCGCCCGCCCACCGGGCGACAGCCCCGCAGACCCAGGTACTCACCTGGGCCCCCACGCCTCGCCCTGCGGAGGAGCAGGAGGCCAGGAGAGCCTCCACCCCCTGTACGGGCTGGCACAGGCAGCAGTGAGGGGCTAGAGGCCTGGGGCCCTGGCTGGGTGGGTCTCAGCCTCCCCTCCCCCATGGCAGCACGTGTCTCCCATGCGCCAAGTGGAGCCCCCCACCAAGAAGGCGGCCACCGCTGCGGAGGATGACGAGGACGACGACATCGACCTGTTTGGCAGCGATGAGGAGGAAGACAAGGAGGCCGCCCGGCTGCGGGAGGAGAGGCTGCGGCAGTACGCTGAGAAGAAAGCCAAGAAGCCTGCGCTGGTGGCCAAGTCCTCCATCCTCCTGGACGTCAAGCCTGTGAGTGGCTCACCTCCAACCCTCCCCCTGCCCTACGGTTCTGGTGGGATCTGAGCTGCATTTGCAATCTTGGGCTAGGAAGAGAAACGCAGGGGCAGGGCAGGTGTGAGCTGACTGTTCTCAGGGCCCTTTGAGAACTGCTGGGCTGGAGGGGGCTCCCCAGTGTCTGCAGGCTCCTGACCCCAGACCCTCCTCCCCCTTACCCACAGTGGGATGATGAGACGGACATGGCCCAGCTAGAGGCCTGCGTGCGCTCCATCCAGCTGGACGGGCTGACCTGGGGGGCCTCCAAGCTGGTGCCCGTGGGCTACGGCATCCGCAAGCTGCAGATCCAGTGTGTGGTGGAGGATGACAAGGTGGGGACCGACCTGCTGGAAGAGGAGATCACCAAGTTCGAGGAGCATGTGAGTGGGCGGGCCCACCTCTGGGGGAGTGGGTCCCCAAGTGAACCCCTGGCTGGGCAGGTGACAGGAGCAGGTGGGCCTTTGGGAAACTGGGCCCCACGTGACCACAGCCTCCCTCCTCTCCTCAGGTGCAGAGCGTCGACATTGCCGCTTTCAACAAAATTTAAGCCCTGGCACTGGGCCTGAGCGAGTGAGGTCCTACCGCCATTAAACACTGAGATTCTGGCTCTCTGGCTCCTGTCCTGGTCTGGGCCCCGCGGGTGGGCAAGTTCAGTGAGCAGCACTCTGCCAGGCCCCAGGCCTTAGACTTTGCCTGCATCTCATTAGTGTCCCCATCTGTCCGCTCCTACACTGCAGACCCAGGGGCCACGGCCATCCTCCTGTCTTCATCCACCCCGTGGTTGCAAGTGCTATGTCCAGTTCAACCTGTGAAGCCAGAAACAGCATGCATTGGCTCCTTCACTGTAGGGCTGCTGGTTCCCTTCAGGGCACAAGAGGCATCCTGGTCCTCCTGCCTCCTCAGCTCCATTCCTGGCTGAGCAAGTGCCAGCCCGGAACTGTCCAGGGAAAAGAGGTCCCGCAGCCTTCTTGGCCCTGCTGTTGTGATTGCAGTCACATGCCCCACCCAGTCTGACATTTTTGAAACCCTGCCAGGCTTCCCACCATCTTTAGAAAAAAGACTTGGCTTCTTTCTTCAGCTCCTAGGCCCCTGCTGCCCCAGCCCGGCCCCTCTGGCTTCAGTCCTCCACGGGGCACTCACCACTCCCCCAGGGCGCTGCCTGCACCTGTGCCTGCTCCCTGCTCTGCCCCTCGCCCACCGGAGACCTGGGCCCTGGACAGATCCCATGACAAACTGCTCCGTGGGGCAGTGACCACTGTCCTGTCCCCTCAACCCCTTTTGGGCAGTACTTGTGTCACTAGTGGCTCCTGCCCTTGGCCAACATGGCTGGTGAGACAGCCATTCAGGAGAAAGGGGGCGGGCTGTGGTTCTGGTCAGAGCTGGTGTCCTCCAGGCCCCAAGCTACACAGGAATGGGCTTCCCCAGGGGAGTTGGGGCCCTGAGACCACCCTCGGAGAGTTTTACTCCTGAGGACTTAGGGTGCAGGACCCGAAAGTCATCTTGGTGCCAGCTGGTGATGGTCACACGGCGCCACACTCGTTCCTGAACGACACATCGTGGGCACCTCCACAGACTCGAATCACCTCTACCTGCTGCCCCTCCCAGGCCGGGGCTGGCTTCCGCGTGGGGCGGGGTAAAGCCTGGCGGGATGTGTTACTACTGCCCTCTCCTACCCTCCACCCCCTCGCTGTAGGGCGGGGCCGAGAGGGGCTGGGATGACCAGCGAAGAGCAGACACATGCCCCACTCAAGCCCGGTCCGGCTGCTGGGTCCCTTTGGTGTCCGGAGGCCGGCAGGCCCCGCCCCTTGCAGTCACGGGGTTTGCGGCGCGTCAGCGGGCGTCACGTGGGCCGGGGCGGGGTGGCAGAGTCCGGCGGCCGAGCCGATGGCGGCAGAGCCGGAGCCCGAGGGGCGCGCGGCGGCGCGGCCGCTGCTCTCCGACCTCTACCACATCACCATGGCGCTGGGCTACTGGCGCGCGGGCCGGGCGCGGGACCCCGCCGACTTCGAGCTCTTCTTCCGCCGCTGCCCGTTCGGCGGCGCCTTCGCCCTGGCCGCGGGGCTGCGCGACTGCGTGCGTTTCCTGCGCAGCTTCCGCCTGCGGGACGCAGGTACCCCCCCGGCCCGACGAGAGGCCCCCGCGGCGGGATAAGACTCGGCCTGACAAGCCCCTTCCCTTCCCGCGCGCCGACGAGTCCCCCACCGCCCCGCGCTCGCCCAGCCCACAAGGGCCTCTGTCGCCCCCAGACGTGCAGTTCCTGGCCTCGGTGCTGCCCCCAGACACGGAGCCCGCGTTCTTTGATCACCTTCGGGCCCTCGACTGCTCCGGGGTGACGCTCCGGGCCCTGCCCGAGGGCTCCCTTGCCTTCCCCGGCGTGAGTGCGGGGTGAGCGGGTTGCAGGGAGTGCCCCGTGGGGCGGGCGGGGCCGAGCTGACGGCCCTCCCCGCAGGTGCCGCTGCTGCAGGTGTCCGGGCCGCTTCTGGTTGTGCAGCTGCTAGAGACGCCGCTCCTCTGCCTAGTCAGCTACGCCAGGTGGGGCCCGGGCCGGCCTGGGGAAGGCTGGGCTCCCGGGGAAGAGGCGCGGACTTCCGGGGGGCCAGGCCTTTCAGGATGGGGGCGTGGCTCCGGGGGTGGGGCGCAGGCCCCCGGCCCTGGGGAGGGTCCTCCGGCTCCCACTGTGGAGGGACTCGAAGAGGGGCCCGGCTCCCGGGTGGCTTCGGGACCCTCACCCCGGGTTCCCTGCCCCCTGGCTCTCCACAGCCTCATCGCTACCAACGCAGCACGGCTTCGCCTGATCGCGGGACCAGAGAAGCGGCTGCTGGAGATGGGGCTGCGGCGTGCCCAGGGCCCCGACGGGGGTCTCACGGCTTCCACCTACAGCTACCTGGGCGGTGAGGGCCAGGGGAGGGAGGGCTGGGGCAGAAGGCCTGGCCCCAAGAGCCCTTCCTCCCCACTGCCTGAAGTCCCCCAACCCTGCCTGATGTCCTGGCCCAGGCTTCGATGCCAGCAGCAACATGCTCGCAGGACAGCTTCGGGGCGTGCCGGTGGCCGGAACCCTGGCGCATTCCTTCATCACTTCCTTTTCAGGCACCGAGGTGCCCCCTGACCCGGTCAGTACCCTCCTCTTCCCCCGCTGCACTCCAGCACTCCAGAGAGCAGACGCCCAAGCAGGGACTGGCCCAGAGAGCGTTGGCCAGTCCCTGCTCTGCACACAGGCAGACACGTGCCTGGCCCACCTGAGCCGCCCTGGGCAGGTAGCCCCAGTGCTGCTGGGAAGGTGGCAGACGGAAGGCATTACCCCTGCCCAGACCCTTGACTGGGGGTGAACCAGGCCCCACCCTGCACTTTGGGCCCCCATCCTTCACCAACCCCTCTCCACAGATGCTGGCTCCGGCTGCTGGCCCGGGCCCCAGGGTGGACCTGGCCGCCTGCGTAGAGGCATGGCTGGAGCGTGTGTGCGCCCACCTGGGGCTGGGGGTGCACGAGCCGCACCGGGGGGAACGAGTGGCCTTTGTGGCCTATGCCCTGGCCTTTCCCCAGGCCTTCTATGGCCTGCTGGACACCTACAGTGTGCAGAGGTGAGGCCAAGGCATCCCCCAGGGTCGGCTCAGCAGAGCAGCTGCAGACCCCTGACTCCTTTGTCCCTGCCCACAGGAGTGGTCTCCCCAACTTCCTGGCAGTCGCCCTGGCACTGGGGCAGCTGGGCTACCAGGCAGTGGGCGTGAGGTTGGACAGCGGTGACCTGCTTCAGCAGGCCCAGGAGATCCGTGGGGTCTTCCGGACCATTGCGGCCCAGTGAGTCCCCCTGGGAGGTGCTATGCCTGCTGAGAGACCCCCTCTGGCATGGAGGGAGGGAGCGACTCTGATCTGGTTGCTTCCTCAGTGGAGACACTGCCACCCTGGCGAGGAGGCCAAGGGTGGGCTCACCCAGGAGCTCGTAAGCAAAAGGCCCAAAGCTGGTGTGTCTGAGAGCAGGTTCTGAGGAGGTGGGGGAGGGCATGACTGGGGAGGGAGAGAGACCTAGTAAATCAGGAACAGCTGAGGGGCTGCCCCATCACAGTTTCCAGGTACCCTGGCTGGAGTCGGTCCCCATCGCTGTCAGCAACAACATCGACGAGGAGGAGCTGGCCCGGCTGGCCCAGGAGGTGGGGTGGGGCAGGGGCAGGCCAGAGGGTGGCTAGGAGAGCCCTGGGCCTGCAGGTGCTGGCCGAGCTCAGTGCCACCTCCTCTGCCCTCCCTCAGGGCAGTGAGGTCAACGTCATCGGCATTGGCACCAACGTGGTCACGTGTCCCCGCCAGCCTTCCCTGGGCTGCGTCTACAAGGTGGAGGCAGAGACTGGGGCCCAGTGAGGGTGGGCGGGGGGGATCATGGGTTGGTGGGGGCTGGAGGAGGGTCCAGTTATCCCAATACCCTGCCCCTGCAGCTGGTGTCCGTGGGAGGCCAGCCACGAATGAAGCTCACCGAGGACCCTGAAAAGCAGATGTTGCCCGGGAGCAAGGCTGCCTTCCGGCTCCTGGGCTCTGATGGTGAGGCCCCTCCCACCCCTCGGTGGTCCCCCTCAAGGTCCCAGGCCCCCCACGTTATTCTTGGCGCCCACCCCACTACACATACACATACAGGGTCTCTGCTGTTGGATGTGCTGCAGTTGGCAGAAGAGCCACCACCCCAGGCTGGCCAGGAGCTAAGGGTCTGGCCTCGAGGGGCCCGGGAGTCCTGTACTGTGAGGCCGGCCCACGTGGAGCCGCTGCTGCGACTCTGGGTCCAGCAGGGACAGGTGACCGCCCCCTCCAACTCCCTTAGTTGGCACTTTCAACCCAAATGGAGTCCTGACCCCTGACCTTAAACCAACCCCTTCCTGCCTCTTCCCCCAGCTGTGTGAGCCCCTCCCATCTCTGGCTGAATCCAGAGCCTTGGCCCAGCTGTCCCTGAGCCGCCTGAGTCCTGCACACAGGTGGCTGGAGCAGCCTGCACTGTATCAGGTGGGTGGGGGCCCATGTCATCAACCCACTGTGCGTGCCCTCTGCCCCCACGGCCTCCCATCGTCCTCTCTTCTCCTCCCCACAGGTCGCTCTGTCTGAGAAGCTGCAGGCCCTGGTGGACAGACTGAGTGCCGGAGGCGCCCCGTGAGAATCCTGTGGTGGAAGCTGCCTGAAATTAACATGAGTCACTCACTGTCCCCCACAACTTGTTACGTGTTGTTTTTTCACCTGGCCTGCCACCCACTTGACTGCCAGGGCCTTCCCGGGTGGGCTGGAATCAGGAGTCAGAGCGAGAGTTCATGCTCCCAGGGGAGGCCCAGGCCCGGCCAGGGTAGGGAGGCAGCCCCGTGCTGAGGCCTGACAGTGGTGAGGAGCTAGGCCAAGGCTGGGGAGTGTCCAGGTCTCGGGGAGCTGGACTTCAGGGGCAGATCTGAGGCTGGAGAGAACAGGGCTATGGGAGAGGGAGGGCTTTGGTGTCCACCAAGGAGTTGAGGGAGTTACCTTGGAAGGCCTGCCCCTGCTGGAGGCTCAGGATGGGGAGCCACAGGGGGTTGAGGTGCTAGAAAGAGGGTCTTGGGGATTTCCTGTGTCTAAGCATGGCCCCAGGCTCCCACAGCTGCCAGGGCACTACCCCTGGGCTCAGGGTTAGTGAGCTTCCCAAGCCAAGGAGGTGCTGCCAGCCCTGCAGGACCCTGCCACTGGGGACCCTGTGCCCCTGGGCTCCAGCCACCTGGCTCCCTCCAGGTCCTGGCATCTGTCACAGGGTCAGCCAGGCCCAGGCCTTGGGGACCCAGCAGCCCTGAGAATGGAGAGGAGGGATCAGGAGCCTGCACTGGAGCCGTGCAGAGGTTGAGGGGCCGGGTGGTGGCTCAGCTCTGGGTACCTGGCCATTGTCCTAGGCTGGCCCTGCCTCTGCGCAGGCAAGCTAGTCAGGTCTCCACTGGCTTCAGCAACTTGGGCTCCAGAGGATCCGCTCAGGAGAGAGGTTCTAGGCTCCGCAGGACGCAGAGGGCGGGAGTCTGGGCCTTTCCTGTCCAGGCAGCATGAGGTGGCACAGGCAGGCGAGAGCATGAGGGAATGCTGACTGTCTGGGGTGCTTCCCGGAGCACTTCCGCCTGCCCAGGTATTTGGCTGGACCGGCTCTTCTGGCTCGCCAGGCTCAGACTGGGCAGTACCTGCTGTGTTGCTGGGTGAGGTGACAGTGGGGATCTGGGGCAGAGGCCTAGTCAGGCTGGTCTTGGGGAGCATGAGGTTTGGAGATACAGACCCACATACACACGGCAGAACACACACCGGGCCCCAGGTACCCACAGGTCACCACTTCTCAGCTGTGCGCTTCCTAGGTGCCAGGACCCGGGAACCCTGTGGTCCAGCATGGCAGGGAGGGAACATCTCAGAAGGGCATGGCAGTCACCTGCAAGAGCACCCAGGAGGCACAGTTCCTCGCCTCATCTGCCCCACCCCAGGGCTGCCCAGCGCTCAGAGGCAGTGACAGCTCTCCCAGTCATCCCCATCCCCAGAATGGCTGGCTGGGTCGGAATGCAGTGGGGACAGCCCAGCCCCTGGCCCCAGGCCCAGCCTGGACCAGACAGACTGCTTCTTTAGGGCTGAATCAGGCAAGGCTCAGCTCAGGGCTGGGCCTAGACTTCTGGACCCTGCTGGGGCTTCCTCAGGGCTGTCCACACCTGCCTGGGGTGTGTGTCCCCCACCCCCCCATCCAGAGAGATTGGAGATCAAGGTCAAGGGCCCTTCTCCCCCTCCCCTTGCAGATCCACCATTGCCTGGGAATCTCCCCACTTCCCCAGGGCCCTGGTGGGCAGAGCCAGACCCAGACACTAAGCTTCAGGCTGGCCACTCACCGCCAGCAGCCTGGGCAGGGAGGCCCTTCACAAGCCCCCAGCAGCACCACGCCTGGGGACACCTCTGTGTGGCTCCCCAACACCCCCGCACACAGAGCACATGCTCACACACGCATGCTCCACCACGCCTGTTCCTGGGCCTGCCCGGGGCCTGCTTCTAGGTCAGGCTGGGCGCGACTTCTCGGGAGGACCAGTGGCAGGTGCTGCAGGCTGGGCCCGGCTGAGCAGCTCAGCGTGTGCGGTGGCCATGGCTGGGGGAGTGTGGGGCCGGGCCCAGGGAGCCCCTGTGGGGGCCCTAACCCTGACAGCTCTGGCTGAAGGGATCCGGGCCAGCCGGGGGCAGCCCCTGGGACCCCCTTCCACGGGCTCTCTGCCAGAACCTGAGGCAGAGCCTCAGAGTGCAGCCAGCATCCCCACGGCCGGCAGTGAGCCCTGCTCCCCACCCAGCACGCAAGAGGCAGCCCCTGGGGAACCCCATCAGGTGAGCAGTGAGGGAAGGGAGGCTGGGGGGACCAGCCTGGGGGGCAGGTGAGGCAAAGGGGAGGGGGCTGGGGAACAAGAGAAGGGCACAGGGACTTTGTTGGGAGGTGGGGGGTGGCGTTGGGGAAGAGAACTGGGAGAGGCAAGGGGACTTCATGCACCCACCCACCCGACCCTAGGCCCCTCAGAGTTCCCAAGAGGAAGGGGCCCTCGCCGACCTGGCATTGTACACAGCTGCCTGCTTGGAAGAGGCTGGCTTTGCAGGGACCCAGGCAACAGCGCTCACCCTGTCCTCAGCCTTGGAGGCCCGAGGGGAGCGGCTGGAGGACCAGGTCAGCCCCGACCCTCTCCATGCCCCAGAGACTCCTGCCTTTTCCTCTCAGGTTGGGGGGTTGGAGTGAGCAGCCTGACGTGCACTCCCCCTTCAGGCTGCACCTGCCCAGTGGGGGTACAGAGGGCAATGTACAGGGTCGAGGAGGCCTGACTGCTGACATCCATCCCTCCACGCCAGGTGCGTGCCCTGGTGCGCGGGTTGCTGGCGCAGGTGCCCAGCCTGGCCGAGGGGAGGCCCCGGCGGGTGGCCCTGCGGGTGCTGAGCGCACTGGCCCTGGAGCACGCACGGGACGTGGTATGCGCGCTGCTGCCGTGCTCCGTGCCCCCGGACTGGTAACCTGCCCCGCCCCCCTGGGCACCGCATCCCCAGCTGCCACGCGGCTTCCTTCCCCCTTCCCGCTTGGCTCCAGTGGGACGACAGGTCAAGGAGGGCACAGATCCTCTGAATTCCCTCCTCTCGACTCCTGCCCCCAACTACTCCCCTGCCTCTCCCTTCATTCAGCAAACTCCCCCAGCCCTCGCACCTGGGGTCCTCTGTACTGGGTTCCTGGCTCAGGGCCCGCCTTCTGCAGCCCTGCAGCCCGTCGCTCCTGCAGCCCGGCCTGGGGGTGCGCTCCAAGGCAGAGTAAGTGTGCCACGTGGCTTCTGCACCCCAATGGCCCCGGCTCTGAGTAATCCGCCCAAGGAGACGTTATCTTTGGTTTTATTCTCTATGGTGATTGTTCACGATGTCAGGTTTGGTTCACTGGTGCTGGCCCGACAGGGTTCTGAGTAGTCCCGCCAGGCAGCTGAGCCTGTGGAACCCAGCTCTGTTGTGGTCTGCACAGATGCCACTTATTTTGTTTCTCTGGGATTGGGGGAGGGTGCGGGGGATGGTTTGCCTGCCCCTCCCCCTGCTGGAGTCCTAGTGGCCACCTCCAACCCTGATCTGGGGACTCCCGGCATCCCGGCACCAGATCCTGCCTCACGCGCCCCACACCCCCAGGGCGGCAGCAGAGCTGTGGCGCAGCCTGAGCCAGAACCAGCGTGTGAATGGGCGGGTGCTGGTGCAGCTGCTGTGGACGCTCAAGGGTGCCGCTGGGCCCGAGCTGGAGGCACTGGCTGTAGGTGGCTCTAGCCAGCGCTGCCAGGGGACTGCCCCTGCCCCCCTTGTGCCCCTGGCCCCCGCCCCCAGGGGGCAGGCAAGTCCTGCCACAGGGGGGCAGGGGCAGCAGGTTCTCACCTGAGTCACGAGCTTCCATAATGTCCCTCCAGTGTCTGAGGCTTTGTCCTCGTACTGCGGTATGTCTGAGCCTGAGTGGGCCACTTGTTCTGCAGGCCACTCGCGCCCTTGGGGAGATGCTGACTGTGTCTGGCTGCGTGGGCGCCACGCGGGGCTTCTACCCAAAGCTGCTGCTCGTACTGGTCACACATTTGCATCAGCTGGCGCGGGGAGTGCACTCCCCTGACACCCCCAAGGTTTGGGCCCCATCCCACCACGGACCACCGCACAGCCATGCTAGGTGAGGGGCGCACGTGGGGGAAGTGAAGGCTGGGCCAGTGGCCTCCTGGCCCTCCATGCCCACTTGCTTGCTGCCCCCACCTCCAGCTGCGCCGTGGAGGCCTTGAAGGCCCTGTTCACTGGGGATGGTGGCCGCATGGTAGTCACGTGCATGGAGCAGGCTGGAGGCTGGAAGAGGCTGGTGGGAGCCCACACCCACCTGGAGGGCGTCCTGCTGCTGGCCAGGTGCAGGGCAGGGCGGTAGGGAAAGAGGCAGGGGCATGAGGGTGGTCAGGTGCAGGCAAGGGGTGGGCAGGAAGCGGAGGGAGAGCTCCCATTTCTGCTCCATCCCAGTGCCATGGTGGCGCACGCCGACCACCACCTGAGAGGCCTGTTCGCTGACTTGCTTCCCCAGCTGCGCAGCGCCAACGACACGCAGCGTCTCACGGCTATGGCCTTCTTTACAGGAGTGAGCCCGCTTACGGGGATGGGTGGTGAGAGGGGACCTGGACTTGGCCCTTAAGCAGCGCCGCCGGCACGGGGACGGGGAGCGTGCTGACCCCTTGTCCCCCGCCTAGCTGTTGCAGAGCCGCCCCACCGCACGGCTCCTGCAGGAGGAGGTCATCCTGGAGCGGCTCCGCGCCTGGCAGGGCGACCCTGAGCCCACCGTGCGCTGGCTCGGCCTGCTCGGCCTCAGCCACCTCGCGCTGAACCGCGAGAAGGTGAGGGGCGGGGCGGGGCGGGGCGGGACCCGGGCGGGGTCTGCGAGGGGCCGCCCACGAGTCCCTGCTCCCGCAGGTGCGGCACGTGGTCACGCTGCTGCCCGCGCTCCTGCGCGCGCTGGGCGAGGGCGACGCGCGGCTCGTGGGCAGTGCGCTGGGCGCGCTGCGCAGGCTTCTGGGGCGGCCGCGGGCCCCGGTTCGGCGCCTGAGCGCGGAGCTGGCGCCGCGCCTTCCGCCGCTGCTGGACGATGTGAGCTCCGCCCCGCCAGCCCCGCGGGCTTCCTTCCCAAAGTCCTCCTTCCCAGACCCTGCCCCTCCAGGCCCCGCCCCAGCCCGTCTCCCCAGGCTCTCCCCAGGCTACTCCACCAAGCCCCGCTCCAGGCCCCCAGATCACGCCCCCAGACAGCAGCCCTCCTTAGACCGTCTCCCTCCTTGTTCCGCCCTGACCGCGCCCTCCCACTCAGGCCCGGGACTCGATCCGCGCCTCGGCGGTCGGGCTCCTCGGGACGCTGGTGCGGCGGGGCCGGGGCAGGCTCCGGGTGGGGCTCCACGGACCTCTGCGGAAGCTGGTGCTGCAGAGTCTCGTTCCGCTGCTGTTGCGCCTGCACGATCCCAGCCAGGACACCGCTGAGGTCAGCCACCACCGAAGACTGTCCCACCGCTGTCCCTACCCAACCCCACCCCTCCCCACCCCACCGCCTCCGAAAATGGAAGATCGCAGGTCAGGGACTTCCCCAAGGACCTCGGGGGCAGGCGTCATAGGCTCCCAGGTTCCTGGTCTTCCCTGGACCGCCTGCCCTGGGCTCCTCCATCTCTCATCCTGGCCACACTCTGGCAACCATTTGTCACCTTCTGGATCCCTAACTCTGCTTCCTTCCACTGTCTCAGAGCTCGGAGTGGACTCTGGCCCGCTGTGACCAGGCCCTGCGCTGGGACCTACTGGAGGAGATGGTCACTGTGGCCCACTACGACAGCCCTGAGGCCCTAAGCCGCATCTGCCACTGCCTGGTCAGTGGGGCGAGGACAGTGACAGTGACAGGATGTGGTCAGCTGCCCACTTGGTCCAGTGTACACCAGGGCCCCTCCCCCCCAAAACTGAGTCTCCCCCTCCCAGCCAAAGTGCTGGCAAATCTAAGGTCTCAGGCCCTGATGCCCTGCCCTGGGAGCTCCTCAGGGACCCCAGCTCCTGTCCTCTGCCACCTCCTATCCATGTGTGATTGGCTCTCCTGTCCCACCATGAGCCTTTCTGTCCCCAGGTTCAGTGGTACCCCAGTCGCATGCCCAGCTTCCTGAGCCAGACCCAGGGCTACCTGAGGAGCCCGCAGGTCCCCCTGCGCCGGGCAGCTGTGGTGCTTATAGGTGAGGCAGTCCTGGTGTCACATTGTTCCTCCCACCCAGAGCTCTGGGAGCTGGCCCAGCCCCTCCCTACTGGGGATGTGGGGCCGGCACTCAGGAGTTTGCCTTGGTCCAGGCTTCCTCATCCATCACTCCAGCCCCAGCCATGTTGGCCAGGACCTGCTGGACTCCCTGTTCCAAGGTGAGGACCCTGCTTGCCAGGGTATGGGGTCCTGGAGAGGCAATGGGTGCTAGGGTGGGGTGGACGGGAATGGATGGGTGGAGGGCCAGGGGCCTGGGGCGCTTGGCCATCCTAAGAGCCTTCCCACCCTTCCTGAGCTTCCCTGTTCCCGCAGACCTGGGGCAGCTGCAGAGCGACCCAGAGCCGGCTGTGGTTGCTGCAGCGCATGTGTCCGCCCAGCAGGTGGCGCTGCTGGCCCACATGCAAAGCCGTCCCTGCGGCCTGCGCCTCTGCCCCCTCAGCTGGAAACCCGGCCACCCCACCAGGCCCTTGCCGGTCTATGCAGACAGCCCCTTCCAGCGGCGGAGTCTCGCAGGCCGCTGGTGCTGTTCAGGACCCAGCTGAGCCTGACCGCATGCTCACCCACATGGGTCTGAGTTGGGCACCCCACCACACTGTGGCCAGTCCTGGTAGGGGCATATCTCCAGAAGATGCTCCCATGAGGGGCACCCTGGGCCTGGTGCTGGACGCTGGTGCCTGCCCCCCTGGAGTCCCCTCTACACAAGGCCTGGTGTGCACAGTGACTGCTTTCCAGGAGCTCACCACCACAACAGCTGCCTGACCTAGAGAGATGGCAGCGCCTTGCATCTGAGCACCATTTCACCCTCAGCCCCTTGCCTTTTGCACCCCTGGGTCCATTTGTTCCTCCTCAGACCTGTTGCTCTCCCAGCCCCTGGAGTGTGCCCTGCCCCCCAACCTGGGTCTGGTGGGGGACACTGGGACACAGCCTTGTAAGCTGGGGCCATGATAGGCCACCCACTTCTTGGGCCTCCACCCCCAGCCTGGCCCAGGCTCCCCTGCCTGTCAGGGCCCTCCTGCCTCCCCGCCTCACGTGCCCCACTCCTTTCCAGCCCATGTCCTGGCCTGAGGTTCTGAGGTTCCTCTCTGCTCAAGAGGCATTGATCTGTCTTCCTGTCCACGCCTGTGGCCCCACTGCCTGGCACCATTCCTGCATGCCTCCCTCCTGTTCATGGCGTCAGACTCCCCTGAGCCTTCTTTGGAAGGTGTCCCCTGACCTCCCCACTGGACACCACAGGCCTGGGATTATGCCTGTGGTTCAGGTGCGGGTGCCAGCATCTGCACACCACCAGACTGAGCCCTCGAGCTGGCACCCCAGCGCCCTGCACAGGGTTGAGTGAGGAAGGTGTGACTGTGGGGAAGAGGCCCCTCTGGAAGCCTCCGAAGCTGTGACCGTGACCGCGCCCCTCCGGGCCCCGGCCTGGGCGGGTTCCTCCACCTGGAATGCCCACCTTGAAATGTCCTCTTGCCTTTCAAGGCCCACCCCCCAAAGCTGCCTCCTTAGAGAGGCCTCAACTCACACAGCCTCTTGTAGGGCTCCGGGCAGTCCTCCCAGACTGGGGACCCCTCGGAGGCAGGCACAGGGTCCTGCCCACCTACTATAGAAAGTGTTTAAAATAAAATAAACACACGTGGAGCCAAGGGGTCTGGCATCTGTCTGGAGCCTGTGTCTGGGCTGAGGATATGCTTCTGATTAGCTGGCCTGGTCCAAAATCAGGGTCAGGCTGAGATTTTAGATAAGGCAGCGCATAGCCAGGACTAAGGGCCAGCCCAGGGTCGGGGTCAGAGGTCGGGCAAGTTCAGGGTGCAGGCTTGCGGCCAGGGTCAGGCAGGGTTTACCCTGAGACAAAAAAGGGAAGCTGTGCTTCGGTCCAATACACACTGAACTGATGGGGTTGGAGCTGTCAGGAAGGGGTTGGAGTCTGTAGGTCATTCCCAGGGCAGGGCAGGGTCAGCGCTAGGGCACAGGGCTGTGTGGAGCCAGGGGCATGGTTTAGAGTTATCAGTGCAGATCCTCCAAAGCAGATGCCAAACGGGTTAAACTACGAAAGATGTAGCTGGGGACGTGCCGGGTGTCAAACCCCCAGTGAAGGAGCGGGTGGGAAGACAAGGGGGTTGGTGGGAGCCTCCTGGACATTCGTGCTGGCCTCAGGGGGGTTCTCAAGCCAGTCACCCTTCAGGGAGGCCTGCAGCTCCCAGGACGGGGGCCTGTGCAGGGCTGGGTTTCCCTCCTCAGTTTCCATCGCTGCTGTTGGGGGTGGCAAGGAGCATTCTCACAGCCCCCTGGCTCGGTCTGGGCCCCGGGCTTGGCTCAGCAGGAGCCTCATGGACCCCCCTCATGGCAGCCCCCAAGGGCAGAAGCAAGCCTGGTCCCCCAACTCCTTGCATCCCAGGAGCCAGAACCCTGGGTGAGCACTCGCTGCTCGCTTCTCCCACTAGGCACATGCTTGTCCCCCCCGCAGATCCCGGCTGGACAGGCCAGCGGCAAACTCCACAGTGAGGTCCAGCCTCAGACTGGGGCTCGGGCATGCAGTACCCCACCTCGTCCCCCCACCTCTGTGGCGCCGGGGAGCCCTCCCCCTGCTCCCGCAGCAGCTGTCTGGAGCAGCTGTCATGCACGCTGCTGCTGCCTGCGCATGGTCATGTGTCCGCCTCCCTCACTGTGGCCCCACACAGGGCTTGGAAGCCCTGCTGGACTCTGCCTGCCTGGTGGGAGGTTAGTGCAAAGCCCACAAGGCCTGAAGGCCCAGACTATTGCTGGGCCCGGGGGGGCATGACCCTTCTCAGGGACTTCTCTGCTGGGGTCCCCAGGGAGGCTCCAGGTGGAGTGGTGGCCTGGTTCACCAGGGGCTGCCCCCTCCCGCATGGCAATGCCACAGCCCTGCCCCCAGGTGAGCGTTTCTGGTCTGTGAGTGTCCGGGGGACCAGGTCCATCAGCTTCGCCTGCAGAGAGCCCATCCAGTGGTAAATCTTCTAATGTGGGTCTAGGATGGGAGTCCATTTCCCTTCCCCATAAAGCCCTTCTGCCTTGACCTTGGTGCCCAAGGACACTCAGATGGGCTACATCACTGCAGATCTCAAGGCACTGGTGGTCCTAGAGCCCAACGGCCAGCAGATGGACCTCCAAACAGGGCTTGGGTGGGGCTGACCAGGACGTGTCTTACCCAGAGCCTCAGGCCCCAGAAGCAGCACTTGTGGACCCGCTTGGGCTAACGCTTCCTAAGACCTTGGCTGTTCCAGACAAGTCACCTAACAAGGGTCCCCACAGGAGGCCCTGGGCCCTGGAGAAGACAGACAGGCTTGAGAGGCATTGAGTTCCTTACTTCACTGTGTGGAGGCTGATTTCTAGGGATGTCCTGTAACCCGGACCTGGGATATTTGGGGCACACTCTGTCTTCTGTTTTAATGTTAATTCTACCTTCGGGCTTGGATCCTGGGTTTTCTTGGGGATTAACATCCCAGCCACAGCAGAACCTACCCTTGCCTTCAGCAAGTCCTGAAGCCGCATGTCAGTGGTATGCCATGACAGAAGGGGCATGTGGCTTCCTCCACCTCCCACCAAGTGGAGGAAGGCAGACTGTGGTTCCCACCAAAGAAAGGCAAGTTTTTCCTGGCTGTTCAAGCTCCCAGAGATGAGAAAAAAACCCTGGCTAGATCAGTTACCATCTCTTCCTGCTCATGGGCCCACTTCCCCCACAGGCTGCTGAGGTCCTGGATTTGCACTGAGGCTGACCCCTGCAAATGCTCGAGACCTGCTGGATGCCCAGGGACCTGCATCTCAGGAGTTAGGAGGCCTCTTCTCTCTCTGGAGAGAGAGGGAGACTCCTACCTCTGAGCAAGTGTGTTTGAGTGAGATGAAGACCAGAGGCCAGTTTCCCTGGCATGGGTCACTGCTTCTCCAGGAGCCTCCGTGCAGCCCCAGGAGTACAGGGTCTGTCTGCCCGTCAGCCACAGCTGCTCTAGGCCCCTCTGCAGCCCCCATGGCCGAGGATGGGCCCAATACCTGCGGCAATGTGTTCTCAAGTTCCCTGAGGCAGCTAGAGGCCCGTCCTGGTGGAACTGTTCTGCCCCATTCTTCCACAGGCCAGCGTGCTGGGGAGGGGCCAAGGGCCCGGCCACGTGGCTGGTCACTCCAGAGTGGCCAGGTCAAAGCATAGGGAAGGCTCTTTTCAGCCCCATGGTGCAGCAGAAGTGAGACCATGGCGGGAGAGGCCTGCTCTCGGCCCCCACATCCTTTCCTCGCCTAGGTGGGCATAGTCCCCACTCCTGCCCCCCACCCCAGATCTAGGGCCCCTCAAAAACTTGATGACCCATCTTTCCTTAGTACATCACATTTATTGACTTTCCCCAACTCCTGGTGCCATGGTGACCCGGCCACACGGCTGCATTGGGCTCTCGCCTTCCCAGGGCTGGCAGCTGGGTGGGTGTGAGCTCTGCTCTGCCTGGAGAGCTGTCCAGGTGTACAAGCGTGCAGGCTAAGTGGGGCTGGCTCAGCACTGCCAGGCAGGCCTAGAGTGCACTGCCAGGCAGGTGTAGAGTGTACAGCATCGCCAGGCAAGCGTAGAGTGCACACGTGCGGCCCTGGGCCTCTGGCTCCCAGCATACCTGGGGGGCGCGCACCTGCAGCTCTAGGCCGCACTCCTCCAGCAGGACCCAGGCGGGCGCCTCTGGGCCCCAGCTGCTCCCCAGGAGCCCGGGCAGCAGGGATACCGCCCTGCCTCTCTGCCATGGGGAGCTCTGCTCCAAAAGGCTCCCCACCTGCCAGGACAGGGTGGGAGGTTGTCAGTGGGGGCCCCCGGGCATCCAGTGCCCTCCCACACCACCCCATCCCAGATAGGGCCCCAAACCACAGGCCAGCCCCTTCCCCTACAACCTGCGCCCTCTCACCAGCTTGAACTGCTCCAACAGGGCCCCTGTCTCCAGCACCTCGGCCAGCAGCACGTGCTGGGTTTCATTCAGCACTGGGGAGAGACCTCAGGTGAGAGGGGGTTCCAGAAGGCCCAGCTGGGGAAGCCCTGCCCCCTACGGGCCCCACCCCAGGGCTCCCTCACCATCCAATGTTCCCAGCAGGTAAGAGATGGGGCAGGCAAGTTCCTTTTCTAGCATTCTGGAGGAGTGCACCAGGCACTCAAGGATGGCGCCCACTGGACCATCTAGAGGCTCCACCCGCCCGCAGCACAGGCCCTGCTCCAGCTGGGGACACAGGGCGGGGCAGGTGAGCCTGGCTGGCTGGGCACAGGCTTCTCCCACCCCGCCCACCCCACCCCACTTGCTCACCAACTCCTCCAGGGCTTGTAGGGCCAGCTCGTCCCGCAGCACCTGCCCCAGGCCTCCCAGCAGCTGCTCACACAGCTCTTTGCACAAGCTCTCCAGGCCCCTGGCCTGGGCCCTCACCTCTGTCTGCAGGCCCTGGAAATCTTTGGTGGCCACCAACCAGCCCTCAGCAGGCCCATCTGTGGGGACAGGGCTGGCATTGCCCGGGTGCCCACAGGGCCCTAGAAAGCTCTGGCAGGAAGAGCAGACCCCCAGGGGGCAGAAGGGGAGCCCACCATGGGTCCCAGAGGCGGTCAAGAAGGTACTGACCCGACTCCTTCAGGATGCAGTCAGACGGTGGGATGCTCTTGAAGTCGTCATCGGAAGTCCGCTGTGCCTGGCCGCCTGCACCTCTGGAAGGCTTGGGGTCTGGGCAAGCAGAGCTGGTCAGTGCAGGGTGTCGGTCCCCAAGCCAGACAGGGCTGAGGCCTTCCCTGGGCCTCAGAGTCTGTCACCACCACCTCAATACTGGCAGCCCAGGGCAGGGAGCAAGGCCATGCCTGACTGGGGTCAGCCTGTGGCCGTGTCACCCTCATGTGTGTGTGTATGTGCAGGAGACAGCCTCAGCGGCCTGGAGCGTGCTCCTCCCATTGCCCAGGTGGGGCGGGGGGGTCCACAGGCCTCACCTGCCTGGGGTGGCCCGAAGGTCCTCTGCTTCTTCTTGGGGAAGAGGAGGATGTCTGGCAGCCAGGCGGGAGCAGAGACAGGGGAGGCAGGTCAGCTGGGGCTCCCGGCCTCTCCCTCACCCACTGGTGCTACCTCGTGTAGTTCCCCCAGTGTGCTTCAACCCCCCACACGCTAGAGCCCGGCACCCTCAGCCACCCTGACCCAGGAAGCTGTGCCACCGATGCCCGCAGCACCCGCGGTCAGCTGGTGGCTCTTCTCAGGTCTCCCTGCCTCTCTGCTGTGGAGTCTCGACCCCAGAAGTCCCCCCAACCCTGGCTCACCCCAGTCAGAGCCAATAACCAGCTGTGCCACTTGGAATGCGAGGATGCTGCCTGGGGGGATGGTGACCGTCTTCCTCCGGCTCAGGTGGCCTTGGCCCTGGCCCTGAGAGATGGACATGGGCTCAGGACTGGGCACTGGGTTGTAGGGCCGGGCGTGGGCTGGGTGCTGGTGGCCTGGGTCTGCGTGGGTGCACTGCCGTCCTGCCTCCCAGGCCCTGGCCCGCTGCAGGACCTGTGCCACACCTGCAAGCACAGGGCTCCAGGCAGTGCAAACTGGCCTGAGCCCTCCTGCCTGTGGGTCCGGGTGACTTCCACTTCATTTTGCGTCTGCAGCACCTCAGTCACCACGAACACATCGATCCCATGATTCCGCAGCTGCTGCAGGACCTTGTGCTCAGGCTGCCGCAGGCGCCTGTGAGGGGCGGGAGGCCAGGCAGCTTACGGGGCGCCCTCTCCCTCCCCAAGCCACAGGCCCAGCTTCCCTCCCCCAGACCTCAGCCTTCGTGCCCGTGAAGGCGGGATGAGCATGGGCGGTGGCAGAGGAGACTGGGCGCTGTCAGTGTTGGTTGGTAGGGTGCCGGGAGGAGTGGACACCTTCACCTGGCTACTGGCTCCCTCCACTCTCTGCCCCTCCCTGGATTCAAGTTTCAAGTTTCCACTCTGAGCTAATGGTCCTCCTCACAGGTGTCCCCACGTCTGCTCCTCCCACCCCAGCCTCCTCACAGTGGCCTGACCTCATCTGACACCAGACCTTCCAGGCTCCACCTGGCCACCCTGGTCCTCAGGATGCAGGCCCCCATTCCCTCTGCAGCCTCCTTCCCTGCCACCTGGCCCCACAAGCCCCTGCTTCTGGGATTTCCCTCCCACTGTGCAGACCCTGGGCCTGGCACAGCAACCCCGTGACTCCTGATGCTTCTAGGTCGTGACCCAGCAGCTGCTCAGGTCAGCAGGTCCCACCCCTCGGGGCTCACCGCTCTTGGTGCATGGCCTGCCAGGTGCTGGGGGCTACTCGAAGTGTGCACACGTTCATCGAGGCGCTGGAGCTGCCGGACACGGAGGCCTCGCCTTCCAACCTCCCCTGTCCTGGGGTTGTCAGCTCCACACTGCCCTTCAGCTGCCCGTCCACAGTGTCATGGAAGTGGACGGGGCCGCCATGCTCCACAGCTGGAGCAAGACCAGAGCTGAGGTCCCCCGTCCTACCGGCCACCGCCTGTCCTGCCCAGGCAGGGGGACCTTTGAAAAGGTCCTGTCCTCTGGAAGCAGAGAGCCCAGAGGCCCAGGGCGGTGGTGGGCTGGCCTTCCCACTCCCCTCCCACCCAGGCCTCCGATGCAGTGCCAGGTGGGCTACCTGGTTCCGGGGCGTTGGGCTCCAGGATGTCCCTGATGGACAGGTTGACACATTTGTAGCGGTGTCTCCAGAACAAGCTCGAGGGCTTCCTGCCCAAAAGGCAGTAGGGCTGGAAGCTGGTGGAGCTCCGCAGGCTGTCCACCGGAATGAGGTCCCCACTGTGGTCCAGCTCCCGGACCACACTCTTGACTACCCCCTCAAAGGCCGACGCCATGCTCCTGAGGAGGGCAGATGGGTCAGGCATTGTGCCCTCAGGGCTGGAAGAGCAGGAGGGGGGATGAGGGGAATGGTGGTACTTGGATGCCTCCAACGATGGGGAGCTCTTTCCCTCCAAAGCAAGCCTGCAAGCCAGTCCAGGGACACTCTGGCTGGCAGAAAGCTCCTGCCCTGACCATTACCCAACACAGAAAGAAACGGAGTGCCCACCCTGTCATCCACTCGTCCATCTCTCCATGGGGCTGTGAGCACTTCCAGGCCAGGACATCATTCTCAGCCCTCAGCAGGACTCAGGCCATTCACACCAACTGTTCCATGGCCAGAGTGCCCACAAGCAGCCCAAGAAAGCCCTGGGACTCTCAGTGCTGGGGGGGCTGGCATCGGCCACCCACCAAGGCCTCCACCCTTTGTCAGCCCAACAAGGCTTACAGCCACTCATGAAAAGCAGCCAACGAGGGAGGGTAGGGCAAGGGGGGGGGGGCTTTGGGTGACCCCCAGGCTGATGCTTTATCTGTTGTAGCAGCCACCTCCCTGGCTGAGGTGTCCAGAGGGCAGGGGAGAAATGAAGCCACCATCTCCTGGACACGTAGCACAGGGCCCACAGCAAGGCCAGCCAGAGTGTCCCCAGCTCCCATGGTGTTCTCTAGGGCTTTCTCTGTGCCTGGAGCTCCATGAGCCACCAGTCCAAGGCTGAACTTTCAGGAGTCAGAGGACAAAGCAAGCCAGACCCAGGACACAGGAGACCTGGGCCCCAGGGAGAGAAGCTGGCCATCCTGACTGGGTAGGAAGCCTCTGAGCCTCAGTGCGGGTCTGAAATCAGAGGCGGGGGCAAGGGGTGCCTGGAGGGCTGACCCAGGAGGCAAGCCCAAACCCAGCCGGGCTGGCGAGGTGGCCACCTTCCCAGGGGCCTGGGGCTTCCCCCAGCCGGGCCGGGACTGTGGGAAGTCCTGAGAGGGTGCTGGGACCAGGTTGCCCCACAAAAAGGTCAGCGTGCCCCCACCCAGAACAAGGGGGCCCCACCCAGGCGCCAGGGGAGGCAGCAAGGGAGGAGCCCTGCGCTTGGGTGTGGGGTGCAGCTCACCGTGACCGTGGCGCCCAGGGTCCGGGCCCACAAAGTGAAGAGAGGCTGCTCTGTGGGCCAGGGTTGCGCCAGCTCTGCCCGGGAGCCGCCAAGCGAGCGCACGGCCCGCTGGGTGTCCAGACCCAAAAGTGAAACTGGGGCCGAGGGGGAGGAGGCGGCGGCAGGCCCGGAAACGCCCTCGTGAGCCCGCCCAGGGGGCCCTCCTCCAGGAGAGGGAACAGCTGGCTCCTCCTGCCCGCCACCAACTGCACCGCCCTTCTCCGTGTCTCTTTCTTAAAACTCTGGCCCATGGCGAGGGGTCTGATTAGACATTTCTCCAAAGAAAATGTACAAAGGCCAACAAGCACAGAAAACAGCCAGTTATTTGCTCACATCATTAGCCGTCAGGGAAATGCAAATCAGATCACTGTGAGATGCCACTTCACACCCACCAGGATGACTGCATCATAAAAGAGAGAGACCACCAGCGCTGGGGAGGATGGAGAAACCGGAACTCTCACGTGCTGAGGGATGTAAAATGGTGCAGCCACCACGGAAAACAGTCTGGCAGTTCCTCAAAAAGTTAAAGAGAATTACCTTGGGTCTCATCCACCCCACTCCTGGGTGTGTAGTCAAGAGAAGGTGAACATTGGACATGAACATTCATCTAGCATTATTCATAATAGCCAAAACATGGAAACAGCCCAGATGTCCATCAGTGATGCAGAGTAAACAAACCTGGTACATCAACACCATGGAAGACCTGTGATGGAGGTACCCAGCCACAAAAAGCAAGGAAGTTCTGATACATGGTACAACACCGAGCAACCTGTGACAGAATCCAGGAGACCTCACTGAAAATGTGGTGGGGAGGCCAGGAGCGTGAGCCCTCCACACTCCACTCCACCTACTTACAGACTCAAGGGAAGGATTGTCAATTACAGACCCCAGCAGGAGGGATCATCAAGGACCACCCCAGCAGGAGGGAGGAAGATTTCCTCCTTGCCCAGCAACTCGGCCAATGAGAAACCGTCACCACTCTGAACTCTTGCTTTCCACCGACAGATTTTCCTTCAAAACAACCCTCCCAACTTCCTCTTTTCCTCTATAAAGTAACGTCCCTCTGCTTGCTTGCCTATGGCTTTTGCTATAACTTGCTTGTTCCAAATTGCAGTTCCTCTGCTATTCCCGAATAAACCCATTTTGCTGGTCAAATAACCGGCTGTTTTCTTTCTTTAGGTCCACGAACCTCAAAACATGATGCTAAGTGAAAGAAGCTGGACGCAAAAGACAACATATCATATGGTTCATGTCTATGAAATGTTCAGAATAAGAAAATCCATGGAGACAGAAAGTGGATTAGTGGTTCCAGGGGCTGGGGAGAGGCGGAAAGGGGAGTGACAGCTAATAGGTACAGAGTTTCTTTTAGGGTGATGAAAATGTTCTAAAAATAGATTGTAGTGATAGTTGCCCAACTCTGAACGTGCTAAAACCCACGGAGTTTTACACTTTAAGTGGGTGAATTGTATGGTATGTGAATTATATCTCAATAAAGCTGTTACAGACCTCAGAGATATTGCGGGTTCGGTTCCAGACCACTGCAATAAAGCAAATACCACAATAAAGCGAGTCACATGAATTTTTTGGTTTCCCAGTGCACACAAAAGGTATGTTTATACTATACTGTAGTCTATTGGGTGTGCAATACCGTTGCGTCTAAAAAAATGTACACACCTCAGGCCGGCCCCGTGGCTTAGCGGTTAAGTGCGCGCGCTCCGATGCTGGCGGCCCGGGTTCGGATCCAGGGCGCTCACCAATGCACCGCTTCTCTGGCCATGCTGAGGCCGTGTCCCACATACAGCAACTAGAAGGATGTGCAGCTATGACATACAACTATCTACTGGGGTTTTGGGGGGGAAAATAAATAAATAAAATCTAAAAAAAAAAATGTACACACCTTAATTAAAAATACTTTATTGCTAAAAATACAAATGCTGTTGGAAAAATGGAACTGATAGACTTGCTTGACACAGGGCTGCCACAAACCTTCAATTTGTAAAAAATGCAATATCCGCAAAGTGCAGTAAAGCAAAGCGCAATAAAACGAGATGTGCCTGTACTCAGAAAAGCTGGAGCCGGGTAACAATGTTCAGGCCTATCACAGCCTCCTCAGTGCCCGTATTGTCCTGGAGCACATTCGGATCACGTCCAGTGCAAGGCAGCTGGAGGGTCCCAGACCCCTCCTTCTCCACCATCAGGTCTTGCCCCTAGGCCCTTACCCCGAGACACTCCAGAGCCCATATCTCGGCCCCTGCCGCTGGCGGACCTGAGACTCACCTTGAAGGCTCTGCCACACTCCTTCACTCATTCAGCACACGTACATCGGCACCTGGTGCCAGGTGCCCTTCCAGACGAGGGCTCTGGCAGTGAACCAGACAAGGCCTCTGCCAGGCAGAGCTGCTGCCAGCAGCCCCAACACCAGCACAGGGAAGATGATCTCCTGTGGTGCGTATGTTGAGATGCTGCAGCTACAAATAACTGGAAACACAGATTCAAACAGAAAGGAGACAAACATTATCTTGCGCAAGCGGAAGTCCAGAACTGTGTGTACCCTGAGCCAGACCCGGGCAGGCACCATCCATTCAGGGTGGTAGGGGCCTGCTCAGGGCCTGCCTGGGGTCTCTGAGGCCATTTCTCTCTCCATGCCAGGGACCTAGGGTGCAGGCCTGAGAGCTCTGATGGCTGAGGGTCTCTGGGGCAGTGAGTGCCCACCCAGCTTGGCGTGGGGCTCCCCAGCTCCAGTCCAGCCCCTGGAGCCCATTCTCTAGTGTGAGCAGGGCGTCCTTGCTGGTGGTGGGAGGAGGCTCCAGGGGTGTGCACACATGTGCACGTTGTATGTACATGTGTGTCTGTGTTCATGTATGTATTTGTATTCATATGTGTGTTTTGTGCAGTGCATACTTGTACATGTGTACGTGTTTGTGTTCGTGGGTGCACACGTTTGTACATGTTGTATGCACTTGAGTGTGTGTGTTGGGGGGTTGTGCTGGGCCCACAGCTGTCGATCCTGGAAGGTGGTCCCTCTTCCACGCCCCGCTTCCTCCAGCTCAGCCTGCCTCTCCCTGTTCCTGCAGTGAAGGGCCTTGAAAGCTGCACAGCCTCTCTAGGCCTCTTGCTTCTTTTTTTTTTTTTTTTAATTTTTATTTATTTATTTTTTTCCCCAAAGCCCCAGCAGATAGTTATATGTCATAGCTGCACATCCTTCTTAGTTGCTGTATGTGGGACGTGGCCTCAGCATGGCCGGAGAAGCGGGGCGTCGGTGTGCGCCCAGGATCCGAACCCGGGCCGCCAGCAGCAGAGCGTGCACACTTAACCGCTAAGCCACAGGGCCAGCCCTAGGCCTCTTGCTTCTTATCTCCATCTCGCCAGGCGGCAGGCTCCAGGCCAAGGTCAGGAGGTGGCGGCCTCCTCAGTGCGGGGTGAACCTCGCTGTGGGTTGCAGCAGGAGTGTGACCAGCCCTGGTTTACTTTTCTTGAAGGCCCTGGTTGCCGCCTGGGTGAAGGGGGTGGAGGGATGCAGCAGTAGCCCCTGGGGGACTCCATCTGAGGCAGAGGCACCAGGCAGGTGCCATCCATGGGCAGGAGGAGCAGTGTGGTGGCTGCAGTAGCCATGGCAACAGAGGATGGCACGATACACTGTGCCCACCCGCCTTCAGGCAGGGACCTGGGGCCACCACAGCCTTGGGCCCGGTGGGGCACGGATGGGCATCGCTGCCTCAATTCCTTGTCCACATTCAGTTCTCCATCAATAACCAAAACAAGAACCACTGGTCTCCTGACTCTCAAGCCAGGACAGACATCAGCCTGACAAGGCAGGAAGTGAGCCTGCTGGGAAGAAAAGGAGGAAGGAAGGTGGGGGAGGCTGGCCCTGCACCACGTCCGCTCCCTGCCCCCCATTCACAGGCAGAGGGGGTTGGGGAACCAGGATATCTTGAGGACCAGGAACCCTGGGGCGACATTACATCTTCCTCACAGCCACTCTGTTGTTGGAAGTGGGTGACACAGCCTGGGCAAAGTCTGGGCAGGCCCTGGAGGTCCAGAGCCGGGGAACATGTCCCTGATGGCGACGGTGAGCTCTGACCAGGGACTGGGAGCCTGGGAGGCGGCTTCTGGCTGTGTGCAGGGAGGGGTCAGCAAAGCTGGGTGGGCTCTGAGGAAGAGGAAGCTTCCTGCGGCTGGGACCCCAGGCTCCACCCAGCCTATGTACCGCCGGAACCGTGGCAGAGGCAGGCCACAGCCCCTGCCCAGGTCGCCCAGCCCCTAAGAAGGCCA